ACGCAGAGGTGTAAGTTTCCGTCAGCGCAAAAAAAAGATTTAAGAGGGAAGCGAGAATATGCGAAGGAGAGATATTGAACGAACCTCAGGAAGCGGTGACCAGAGGCGGATGACGTTGTCGATACCTGAGCTGGCGATCTGGCAGAGAGAGGGGTGCGGTTGGACACAATTTACAGTTGCACTGTCCGCCTGAAGAATACGTACAATGTTGGTGGTCTGTCTGTCCCAGATGAACATGCTTCCGCAGTCCGAGCCCGCCACGATGAACTGACCATCGCTAGGGACGGTGAGAAACACACAGAGATGATAATAGAATCAAAAGGAAACAAACTGGTCCGCGCGGGCTGACTCGGATTGAGATTAGGAATGCTACTGTTCAGGTGGGCATAAAATGTAGTTTGTCCGTATTAACAAAGTTCAAATGATTAGGAGTCCTGTCTTGAAGCCGCCCGCACTGTTTCTTAACTCCGTGTATTGCGTCTTATAAACAGCTAACAGAAAGAAGCCAGGTATAGACGTGAGTGATTGCTATTGAATGTACGCAACGCCAAAGAAGTCATGGAATGAATGTAAATAAGCTTGAGTGTTAGAGCTCCAATAGTCGATAAGAATACATTTATCAACCGATCGCCTTATGCTTCTGTAGTATCCTTTCAATCGAAGCCAATAAATAAGCCTAGGGTGTGGAAGGCGAAGTAGTGGCCTTGAAGGGTCACATGAACAGTTGCCATCATAGGCCCTTGCTCTAATTAGTGGCAGGCACAGGTCTACACCCTAATTTGTGTTGATGGTGGCGTATACACAACAACGTAAGTAAGACTAAATAAATAGCAGCTTCTGCCCCCTCCCCCTCCCCATAAACAGACTCCACCCATCACCTTCGAATATACTCCACCATATTACACATTCAGGATGCAGGAAAGTTGAAGGAAACCGGCGAAATTAAGACGTAAAAACATCAGACTCCTTTCTTATGCTTACTGGTAGCTAGAACGACGCGACTGATGGGTCTAGGAGAACTTTGGAAGTCCGTTGAGACGTTAAACAGTCGAAAAAATGCGACTGGCCAACCGGGAGCAGTAATAACATGCAAGAACTAGCTGCCATCAAACACCGAACCGGCTTAACTTCTGATCGGTAAGAGAGCTGAACTACGGTCGATCCAGTAGAAGACGCTGAAAATAAGCGAAGTTCGAAGGAAAATCTCTAGAAAAACAACCCAGCTGGACGACGAAGTGCAGCCTCAGAGCTCAGAATCTATCGTGAGCCATATCAGCTTCAGGCAGGACATGGAAGCAGTTGCATACGAAACAAGACAGTCGACTAGCGAACAGTAGTGTGCTAGCGATGATGCACTGTCCAGCAATAAGTAAAGCCCCGCTGGACTCTCCGCGCAATCATCGCATCCGGGGCCCGCGAATAATTGCGTTGACTTACTCCAACCCACAAAACACGCCAAAGTTGAAATGGGAATGCAAAAAAAAGGGTAGTGATGCAGAAGACTGCAAAAAGTGATGTGAACTTAGCCACCACGAACTATACCAATGGATCTTATCCGGTAGTTATGAAATCACAGAAAAAAGAATCACCCCCATGTAGCCAACTTCTCTGACTTCAGTCAGTAAGCCGAGAGGCCCCTAGTAAATATGAAACCGACAACACAGCAACATGTACGATCTGAATGTATGATGTGGTCAGATGAACTGATTCACAAAAACCTACCTATACAGTTTTTTGGGCTGCACTGAAACGGTGTGTGTGCCCTACACCACCGTCATACATGCACGTGGCATGCGTTAGACGGAGACGGGCGCCAGATCAGTCACCGTGCCAAAACATATTACCAGTCTGCTGAGGGGCTCGGGAAGGCGCGAGGAACGATTGGGGTCGATTCTGACGGATCCTTTCCCAGCATATCAATCCGCCTCGGCGCGTTAAAAGTTGCGGCTTGAAAAACCGGCAGCTGATAGGATAACTCGGTCCTCCATTGGAACCAGAGCCAGACTGCAAAGGCCCCCGCTAAATGACCCCTCCAATGCATGGCATGCGCCAGAGGGCCACTTTTCGGCACGCCGGCTACTACACCTAAACTCATCTCAAGTCGACTTGACTTGGACAGGTCACTGGTGTGTGGGAGGGAAATGAAGACGAAGTCGGTCCGCAAGCCTCCCATTCAAAAGCAAACGCACTAAATTCGTGACTTTGTGGGTTGGCATGAGACGATATGGCTCGGCCCACTCAAGGCGGGGGGGGCGGGGGTTGGGCTGTAATGGCTCTTTAAGCTAGTCCTTACGGCAACCCTCACTCGCGTAAGCTCAGAACTACCTATCTCAATGAAGCCTGATAAAAGTGGTCGCGTATGGCACGTGTAGACAAACTCTTTAGTTTCATCCGTCCCTTCCGGGTCCATTTCCTGGAGCAACTATGAAGCACCACCGCTTCCAAGAGTTGAGATATCGTCAGGCGCCCCAGACCATAACGGAAAGCCCAATAACGCTTAAATATTGCATATCACAAATTGCTAGTCCAACTAGACTCAAAAACTTAATGATTATGAATGAAAGAAAACGTTCGCATTCCGGGTATTTGTATCGGTAAAGAAGACAGACCGGAACGATTTGCATTTTATTCTGAGCTTTCGGAGTCTTACTGGAGTCCATCGTCAGAGATGGGAGGCAGCAACAAAGGAGTTCAAATTTCAACCGTTTGTTCACAGGCTATAACCAGCCACTCTTTTGTTGCTGCTTCCCATCTCTGACGATGGACTCCGGTAAGAGTCCGAAAGCTCACAATAAAATACAAATCGTTCCGGTGCTCGATCATCTGTCTTAATGATTATAGCTGCCATAACACAGCAACAACTTTGGCACGTACTGCAGTTGTTGAGAGGGTGCCATGACTCAAATAAGAAAAAAAAACCGCACAGGGGTTGTGAATAGAACACGAAATGAAGATACAAGAGGACATAGCTGTTGGAATAAGGGGTGGAAAGAACGTCGCAGCCGAAAACGAAAGCACGCGAATTCTCGCTAGTGATTGCATGTTTCATTCGTCAAATACAATAACCTACTCGATTCCCGTCTCCTTAGCTTCTGCAAACTCAGTTCTGGTAGAGTAGAGAGAACCTAGTGAGCGAGCAAAGATCACAGAGAACAAGTACCATGCTAGTCGAATTCGCGATTCAGAGTTCAGTTTTATTAAAGGAAGCATAGGCGAACGCCGCAGCATCCAAAAGCCGAATTACCACAGAACAGTAGCCAGAATGTGGATGCTTAAATCGCAACATACACCAGTGTCACCAGCCTATGGCCTTATTGTGTCAATGTGGCTAACAAGTAGTAAAGCGACATTCCTCGACACTGAT